TGTTTTGATCAATCTAATATCAATTGTGCAACCAATAGATTGAAGATATGAATATGTTCTGTAACCATTACTTGAGAAAACCTGTTACTTGAGTAATTATGTATGTTGTGAAACCTGTTTTACAATTCTCAAATAAGTTTAAATGTGCATCTGAAGCATTTTTAATATTGAAACATTTACTCTGTTATGTGTTGAATTTGTTTGTCTTAGATGCCGGAGGAATGGAGGATTGAATTTTTTTTGAAAGAATGCATCTTTATCAACACCGAAAAGAACATTGCTTGGAATTTTTTGAGATAATGATAAGTATAAATATGACTTTTATTTGGTCAAAATTCGTAGCTCGTAATCCACCAAAAAATTAGCAAGGATACCGTATCTTATTTTTTTTTGGATTATAGAGATATGGATGGGTGCGATCACCCTGATTGCTAATTAGCCTTGGCATCTAGAATTGGAGGGTGGATGCAGCATTTGGAATTGGGGATTATTGTGTTGCTCCTATATTATGTGGATCGTGTTGTAGGTTTTTAGCTAATAAGGGTAGGGGCTTTTGCCATTGTGGAGGAGCTTGAAGGTTAATGAAGCTTGGTATCTTCTTTGCTGTGAGAGGGGGGTCTCTGTTGAGGAATCTTGGTAGCTTTACTAATTGGTTAAAGGAAAATACCAAACTTGCATTGCTCCTACTAATCACTTGGCTTTTGCTTTTTCTTTCTTTTTTAGTTCTGTGTCTGTCATCATCAAATACTTCTCCTTCGTGGACACCTCTCGGAACAGGCACCTTTTGGCTTCTTGTCTCCTTTTCTCCTTCCTCCAACTCATCAATTTGCTGAAAGTGACATCCACTAAGAGATCTATACTATTGAAAGCCTTGGATAGTTTTCTCTCTTATCATCTCACTTTTGCTAAAACTGATTGACATATAAAGAAGTAGCATTGCTGATTTCTTAACTTTGTAATGACAAGTTATGGCTGTGTTGTTGCTTACATACGATGTTTAATTTAACAAGGTTTGTAGATTGCTGAGGATATCTGGTGTGTAACCAGAGAAGTAGAGGAAAGGAATAAAGAGAGGGGTTTGGACCCATTTGGTTTCTAAATATGTCCAATGATTCTCTGTTTCATGTACTCATATAGTGCTTGATTGATGTTTGCTTGATACATTTCGTACATATGAACTAAAGCAACAGGGTGCTAAAACATCAAAGTGTTAGACGTCACTTTGACCATTTGCCAAACATGCTCCAAACCCATATATACTCAAACATAAGCATATATCCTTTAATGAATGCGTATGGTTTTTTTAGGGCAATCCACTAAAATATATATGGTGATAATAATATGAAGCATCAGAATACCCGTTGAAAAAATAAAATAAAATAAAAAGTTGTACTCTACATTCAACACGCACATTTCTATTTCAATTAAAAACAATGAAAGATTCACCTAGGGACCAATATAAATGTCATTTTCCCTGTTTGGTAATTTGAAGGTGATCTTAGTTTAAAAAGCAAGACATGAAAGCATTGCATCTTCAATGATTCTATATACAAAAGAAAAGAATTTGATAATATCATGACTCAATGATGCTGATCCTTTTAGAATTGACAACACTGTCATACTCATTACTACAGCAGCAAGTATCTTACTAAATATATGCTAAAATGTGATCTAATTCATGTTAATTCATCAATATACATTAAAGAGAGGGTTAATTGCGGATAGACCCCAACACTAAATCATGAAGTCTTCACCCCCAGCTTTTTCTGCAGGCCTCTTTGCTGGTTGTCCTCCATTTGTTTATTCCCTTTGTCACACCAAACCCTAGGTGTACACTGAAGGGGGATTTTCTTTTAGGCCTCTCTCCCTTCATTTTTAACTTCATCTTCTTTGGATCATTTTGATATCAAAATCGAAGTCGTAATTGCGAACGCATGTCAAATGATATCTGTTTCAGTGCTTTATGTGTTGATGTGTATTTGAATGTAAGGCTTAAGTTGACAGAGAAATTCTTGCATTACATCCAAAAAAAAAGAAGAAGAAGAATAACATGTTGTATGCATAGAACTATTCATGATGGATGGATTTACACTTTATACATAGTTAAATTGTACATGGTTCAAAATGAAGTGAGTTAACAACTAGCTCAACATAAGCAACTCCGGGCAAGTTCATTGATGTAATGAAAGTGAACCATTGTGAAAAATTAATCAACACTTCCATCTTCAGACAAGTTTATTTTAGACTTTAGAATTTGCACCTTATTTTCAGTTCTATGTTGATACAACAAAAGCTGAGTTACTAACAAATTATATACATAACATATACATATATCCTGAGGCAAGTTTAGCTTAGACTTCATAAGCTATCAAAATGGGGAATTTATGTAATTAACCTTTAATTCTATGATACACAACGAGTCATGGGTACTAAACTATTTTGTTTCCAATTGTACAACATAGTTTATAAGATCATATACATATGAGCGCTTACCAAATAAGCTAGAAATTGATTTCCTACTAATATTTCATAAGGTAATGTGAATAACTTAATTTGCTTGTATCTCTGTTCATAATAAATTGATTTTTTTATAGCAATTACTAAATTTTGTCTTTCATTCATAAATATTTAGCATAGCTACATTAGTGCTTCAATTTGCTATTCATTTTTATGGGAAACTTGTGGATCTTGAAGTTGTAGAACTTTTTAATAATATTAATATACCAAGAATGTACCATGAAAATAAATGTTATGTTCGATTAAAAATTTAATATGTATTGTTGGACTTTGAATTTTGAACATATAATTAGTGTAAACCTTGCAATTGTCTCAATGTTATGGCTAATCTGTTTATTAATTGAAATGGAATGATAATTTCTCATAGGATGATAGTTGTCTTGGCTTTTATCTCAAAAAATACAATTCTTCTATGACTTCCACCTGGCTTAGTAATATACATAAACCTATGCTATAATACAGAGATTATGACAACAATAAATTGCACTATCATATGGGTGACTTTCTATTTCCAACTAATCGATTGTGATGGTTGCAATGAAAAGAAACTTTTGTTTCATCAGTAAACATAATTACGTAATAGTGTCTTTCTTATTGTTTTCTGAAGGCAATTATCCATTACGCTTCCTACATTGTGATTCGTGTTGAATCAACTTACATGGTAACAAGGACCCAATACTCTTATCTTTTCAAACTCTAAATTAGTTGGCATGTTGTGGAAGTCTTTGAACATATATCACATATATGCATGAAACTAACTCATTGATCTTTTATTGCAATCTGTTTTATATGAGGAAGATATTGGAATTTAGAGATGCATTTCTGTGCTTTACTACCATATGGGTTCATGTTCCAACCTGTTATTTTGATTATGATGAGATTTTAGTCCTATCTTTCTTAGAACTTGCAAATATACTCTTACATGGTTAGGTTACATGGAAAATTGTCTTATATTGGAATGGTTTTACATGAATCGTCACATTTATCAAACTATCTCTCTTTATGTGTTTCAGACACCAGAAATTTATTGCTTGTTAGTTGTCTGCAACGTGTTTTCCCCTCCATGCTATTTGTGGTTCAGTCTGGCAGAATGCAGAGGGACAATTATCTTTTCTGAGACATTCTGCGTCTGCACCACCTGATGTATTTACATTTGCACATTGTTCAAGACATCTGGTAATTTTTGTTTAAGTGTCATATAATTTACTTTTTATGATACATCTCGCTAATGTTTGACTGTTTTCTCAGACATACACAGATTTAGCTAATCTTTATAATGGAGTTGGTAATCAGGCATGGTCCTGCATAGACCTTTTGGATGTATTATGACAATTAGCTGAGAGTGGCCATGCAAGCTCTGTCCGGTTAATTATTGAGCACCCTCTTAATCAATTTCCCGATGTTTTACTTCTTGGAGTTGCTCAGATTAATGTAGGTGAACCTTTTTCCTAGGGTTTAAGTTTTGTTTATCCATTTTACCTTTGCACTCCAGTTGATGCTGATAAAAAAAATTGATTCATTTGTTTTTTCCAGTCTGCCTATAATCTCCTCCAGTACGAAGTATCTTCCATTGTTTTCCCTATTTTTTAAAATTATCCTATGAAGAACAACATTCTCCATCATTTATGGAAAGTTAATCCTAGCTTGCTCTTGCGAGGACTTTTAGATGCTCGAACAAATCCTAACAGCATTTTTAGAATTCTTGTCAATTGTCAGGAACAGAAGGTAAATCTTTTGGAGAGTTCATATCAGTGACTAATTTATGGTGCCAGACATATTTTTCCTCATTAGCATATTCCTATGAAGACTTACGTCCTAACTTTCTATTCATTTGTTCCAAACTTTTCGAGTAGTTACTCGCCCTGTGTCTCTTTTGCTGATACCACTGTTGAAGAAGTCTTATGGCTTAAATTTGTTAGTAGTTCATATGTTGTCATCACTATCTTGTGAATGCATATGCCTTACCTTGTTATCACTCATCTGTTGTCTTGGCTTTAGATTCAATTAATCAGTTTCTATTTATATGCAATTCACACGTTTTGTAGCATTGGAGTTCCTATTCTACCCGCAATATGTTGTCATTCACCAAAGATTTTATGGTGCAAGTATGCTGGCATACACATGCATAATCTGGATGAACGCGATGGTTACTGCTGTTTGTACATGTTGTGCATGCTTGATTATATGCACAAACATTTACATAAACATAACTCATAACCATCATGCCTTGCACTTCTATTTCAGTCCATAACTGTAACGGACTATTTAACGGTCATAGATTCATATATGCCTCTCATTTGTGGATTATGTTTAGCATTGTCCTGGGATCTGACCTCAGATATTCTAAGTGCAAGTCAGATGTTTTTGAAACATGAATGGAAATTTGTTTCTCTATTACAATTTTTACTATTCCAAGTGCTTAGACATAGGTAAACCCAAAATTTTGGAGTTCTCATGTTTAATACGGCTGTAAGTGGCAGAGGTCTTTGGCATGCTGAAAATTGTTACCCGTCATTTTAAGACTTTTAGGTTGTTTCCAAAAGGTGATAACATCCGGAGAATTCCATCCTACGCACTGTAACACATTAGCATATATTAGCTCTAAGGGCTCTATACGACTTATTGATTTGCGACAATCAGCACTGTGTGATAACCACTCAATGTTGTAAGTGATCTATTGTTTTTGCTTTGAACTTTTATACAGTGACATGTAATTGGGTTGACTTCTTGTTTCAATAAAAACTTACTGAATTGTTATTTTGAGTTGTTTGCTTCTTTGCTAATGTCATGGGACTTCTTGTTTCAATAAAAACTTACTGAATTGTTATTTTGAGTTGTTTGCTTCTTTGCTAATGTCATGGCTAATTGCATGTACTTCCAGGTTTACTGAATTGTTATTTTGAGTTGTTTGCTTCTTTGCTAATGTCATGGCTAATTGCATGTACTTCCAGGTTTGAGGAGCATGAAGCACCAGGTTCGAGATCTTTTTCCACTGAGATCATTGAGTCAATTTCAGATATTAAATTTGGAAAGAATGGAAGACACATTCTCAGTCGTGATTACATGCCTCTTAAGGTTACAGTTTTTTTAGTCGTTTATCTTCAAGTTTTCAATTGTTTCTTTTTTGAGGATAATCAGCAATGAGCTTTTGATATCCATGTTACAATCCTTGTGCAATTTTGAGAATCAACTGTTTCCATTATTTAGTTTCTTTTTTTTTTTTAAATATTCTTGTAACTGATTTCAGCTATGGGATATAAGCATGCACAGTGGTCCAGTTGCAACATTCCAGGTCAATGAATATTTAAGGCCGAAGGGGAATACTATTGACAATTATGTATTTCATTCTAAATTTGTTAGTAACATTGGATGCTACACCTTTGAGTTTCTTCTTCTTTTTCTTTTTCATTTTGATAATAAGTTGTAGTCTAATATATATATTTTAATGATTGTCTAATTTAAACTAGTTATGCGATCTGTATGAAAATGATTCAATTTTCAGCAAATTTGAATGCTATCTTAGTGGTGATTGACAACGGGTGGCCAATGATTCATACATGTATTTGTTTATTGTTAGCGCAGATTATCACATTGCTACAAAAAATGGATTAATGAACACATGCCTATTTCCATGGCACCAGCAATCTTTTCCGCATAATTGGTTGTGCTACTAGAAGCAACGAGACAACAACTTTGTAAGCCAGTAAGAATCCTATGAGGTATAGTTGTGATCGATGATCATGGAAAATTTAGTTTTATTCAATAGAAAGGAAAAAGATAAAGAAACAATAAATTCGGAAGCAACCAAACTTCGCGACCCAATGATAAATTGCAGAATGGTTTAGACAACTCGACAATCCAATCTGTGCTTAAGGGGCTTGTTTCGCTAGACAAGCCATTCAATGAAAAGAACAGTGACAATCTTTTGAGCAAAAGAACAGGTTAACAAGACTTAAATTTGTTGATAATGATGCAAACTAGAAGAACGGAAGCACTATGGCTGATGCTAACAGAAAGAAAGAAATACGAGATACTTATAGTGCAACAAGTGTACTATCAACCAATCAAGCACTAAATGAAAAATTATAGTTCAAATATAGAAATTTTAGTTTATGTCTTTGTGTTTGATAAATTGCTTACGTTCAATAATTTAATAAAAAAATATTTCCCAAAAAAACTGTATATAAAACTTATATATATATATATATATAGGGTGAGGTTCTAATAAAAACCTCCTTAGCCTAAAAACTAAAAACCATTGTGGGTCATTGGATCTATCTCATCCAATGGTTGAGATTAGAGCTTATACTGCAGTGAATCCAGATTCAGTTATGACAATAAATGTCATTATTAAAGAGCGTAATAAATTTGTCTGCCATTAAAGAGTGCAATAAATGTCATTATTCTTCAAAAAACAAACACCTCACATAACTGAATCTGGATTCACTACAATAAATGTCATTATTCTTCAAAAAACAAACACCTCACATAACTGAATCTGGATTCACTATAATGAATCGAGATTCACTCATACGTGTCTTCGTTTTTTCAACTGGAAATCCTCATCCTATATATGAGTGAATCTAGATTCACTATAGTGAATCCAGATTCACTGGAGTGAATTGAGATTCACTGTAGTGAATCTCGATTCACTGTAGTGAATCTCGATTCACTGCAGTGAATCCAGATTCAGTTATGTGATGTGAAACTAGATTCGCTGGAGTGAATCTGGATTCATTGGTTGTTTGTTGCCCCTATTTATTGCACTTAGTATAATAATAACATCTATTGCACTCTTTAATGGCATTTAGTGCAATAAATAGGTTTTTAGTTTTTAGGCTAAGGAGGTTTTTATTAGAACCTCACCCTATATATATATATATATATATATATATAATTTTTAAAAACAACTTAATTTTTTGAGTAAAATCAAGAATCTTTAGAAATGATTTTCATGAACTCTTTTAATTTTTATATGGTTATGTGTATGCTTTTATCATATAAAAATGGGCAAAATGACCAGATTGGTATAATTTCTTGAGACTTGGTGACAAGTTGGTATATTTTTTTTAAGTTTTGTCAGATTGGTATAAATTTTTAACTCCGGCGCCATATTGGCCTTAAGTTTGGCCGGAGTTACTGTTCCGACCAGTGTTGATGGGATTTTTTGTATAAAACTCCCTTATAAAAAACTTATCCTGCTCCTAACCCCCTCCCCCTCCTCCTCCTCCTCTTCCTCCTCCTCATCCTCTTCCTCTCTCCTCTTCCTCGCTCTCTTCTTCATCTCAACCCAATCCCAGCCCCCAGAAACACCCCGGGTCTGCAATATATATATATATATATATATATAAAATTCAAAACATAGAAGTTCATATAAGGAAATGTATTGTTTTCTGATAGATGAAAAGATCTAAGTGCACTGTTGCCGGGGAAAATGGGCCATCCTAAACTCTACTGTTTGTTGACAATTTCACTAGATGGACATGGATTTATTTTCTAAAAGGGAAGTCACAGGTATGGGGTTAATTTCAGAACCCCATCCCTGGAAACTTTGTGCAAATAACCTCCCAAATTATTTGAATTTGCCTAAGCCCCCCTCAATTTAAATGTATGTGATGCAGTCAGTTGCCAGACAAAAGGGTCCACGGACAGAAACAATGTCATGAAATTAAGAATTATCATAATTCAGACATGTAACATGCACCTCCATTTGGCAATTGGCACCTAGACTGCCGCCCATGCCTCACGCCGGTCAACAATCCAATACGTTAACCATTCAAACAAAATGATCATTCACATGATAAGGTCATCAGGTCTCATCTTAAGTTCAAACTTCATATTTACCGAATTTAAAATATAATTATGGACTGTTTAGGGATTAATGCTGACATAATTTATTTTGTTAACCTATTACCGGGCCGCTGAAACTTTTGGTAAAATAGTTCTTGACACTCAACACATTATCTTCCATGTTGCGTTTCAGTCATTTTTTTTGAATGTGAAAAGGGCTCCATTGCCGATTCAATTGTGCAACGTCTGTGTCACATTGTCAGATTGCAGATAACAATTTTGTATGTTTAATTTTGTATGTCAAACATTGTTTTTCTTCCTCTACCTGGAGCATTAGAATGGATCTGGCAATTTGCCAATTAGTTCTTCCAAGCATCAGAGAAAAGAAGTGATTTATATCCGCACACTTAACGTCTAGCCCAATGGATAACAACACCCCAACCAAATCCAAACATCTTTCATACAATCCCATCTTCTCTTTCACTAAGCACATGGCTCTGTTTCCTCACCTAAATAGCATACAAATTTCTACAGCTTATCATGGGGCCACTCTCCGTTCCTATAAGTTAATGGCCAGCACTGCTATTCTTCTCATCACATACTCAACCCCAGAAACTAGAAACTGAAATATTTGTTCTCCAAGCAGAGTGATATCTAGACATTCACAATGGTGAACACCAAGAAGCTTATTGAGATGGCGAAGAAGTGGCGCAAGGTTTCGGCCTTAGCCAAAAAAATATCTTCTGCAAAAAATGATGTTCAACATGATTTTGATGCATGCAGTACATCAGTTACAGAAAAAGGCCATTTCGTCATATATACCTCCGATGCAAAGAGATTCATGGTTCCTTTGGCTTTCCTTGAAAGCACTATCTTTGTCGAACTCTTGAAGATGTCTAAAGATGAGCATGGACTACCAAGCGATGGTCCTATCGTTTTGCCTTGTGATGCAGCATTCATGAATTATATTCTATCCTTGCTTAGAAGGCGAGGAACTAAAGCTATGGATAGGGTGTTGTTAGACTCTGTACTCAAGCATCGATATTCCCCATGTTCTTCTCACTCTGTAGAATTTAGTCGACAAGCTATTTGCAGCTTTTAAATATTCAGAATTTGTATAGTTAGTTTAACATGGATTAGTGAAAATTTGTGAAACAAAAATTAGTGAAAATTTCTTCTCATATCTCTATTTCTTTGTTCTTCTTCTTATCGTTCATTGTACCAACAAATTAGCAAGAGGGGTACTTGGACTAATGTTCTTACAAGGAATGTACGATGATTCGAATGACTTTGATTGGGTAAAATAAACGAAAGATAAAGAACTTGATTAAGTACGGTATTCTCAAAAATCATGGTCTAAATACAAGAGACTGATGATTCACGGTAAAAGTGTACTCAAAACTTATCAGATGTCCTAAAAAACCAGCCTAATTCTGATATGATTGAAAGAAATAAAAACATGACAACTGTCACCTTATTTTTGGTAAATATTATATAGCCATTCAATTCCTCCTATTACAAACGCCAGTTTAGCAACCATTCATCTGTAGGAAGTTTACATTCCTATCATAAATAAAGTAGTCAGTTTAAATTTCATTATTCGGTATAATAAGTTTGGGCATTCCAGCAAATGAAAGGAGTTTACCGATTTCATCTAAAATAATAGAGGAAAGATAAAGTCTTTCCGAAAACCATATAGCATGGTAGTTTACTTAATTCATCGAAAGTAATAGTTGAAACATAAAGATAATTTGGGGCAAAGTAATAAGCAAACACATTATTCCCCCAAGTAGTCTCTCCCAGTAATAAAGATCTCATTTACATGACAACAGTTTCATAGATTGATGCTCAGTCATTTCCTAATTACTAACTTATATGTTTTCCCTCTCATTATTTAAATTACACTACAGGGTGGTGAATTGGGTAATATGCTAATCTAATCCGATATTAATGCCAAATAAAAATTTATTAACAATATCCTAGCAAGTAAGATATACAATAAGATATATGCAAGGATAACAAATAAACAAAGGGCGATATAAACTATGAGACAATTTAAACAAGATAGTGGGCAAATAACCAGTGCAAACACAAGAAAATGATCATGGAGTTCGGTCCTTCTGACCTATGTCTCCGCTCTCCACTCTCGAGGAGAGCTCCACTATCTCAACCGGTTTTCAATGCTAACCGAAAAAGTTTACGCCTCACAATCTCAGTTTTCTAGCTTACCGAAAACTTTCACAACTCACACCCTTGCAATCACACTCTACACCCTCTAAGTGTTGTCCTAGCCCGTGTCGCATTCCTCAAGTACTCGGATTTACAACCTCTCCCTAGGATTTACTACAAACGTCACTCCTCTTGGAATCGATCATGTCTCTCATCACACACTCCTCTCGGTGTACAAGTATATTACAAATTGATCTCATAATGAATTCTCAATAACAAATGGTTTGTTCTCTAATACAAGATGAGAACTAAGTGTAAGCTCACTCAATCACACCCACAACCCAAATTACACAATGTGTGATAATACTATAAGCTCAATGTTTGTGTGTGAAATAATAAACAATAACAAAACCTAGATCAATTGTAAATCTAGTTTAGTGAAAAGATAAATAACAAATATAAATATGT